TACCTGAGAGAGAGGTCGGCTGGACAAGGGTCACCCAGCTGAAGAGCAGCGGTAGCTCCAGGGACAGCCTCCCCTGGGAGCCCCTGAGAGGCCACCGCCACCTCTGCCCTGGTCCTAGGAACCCCAGCGTCAGCTCTTGCTGAGCTATGGGCTGCAAACTATAAGGAAATAACAATCAAGGCCCCAAGGCCCCTGGGCTATGAACACACTGGCACAGACCTCTAGAGAGAGTGGAAAGTGATGGAGTGTGTGTCTTCTGTTGCCCGGCCACCGTGGCTCAGTGGTTGAGCGTTTACCTATGAACCAAGAAGTCATGGTTCGATTCCTGGTTGGGGCACGTGCCCGGGTTGTGGGCTCTGTCCCCAGTGGGGGGCATGCAGCAGGCAGCCAATCCATGATTCTCTCTCATCATTGATGTTTACACCTCTCTCTCCCTCTCCCTTCCTCTCTGAAATAAATTAAAATATATATATATATTTTTTAAAATATATTTTATTGATTTTTTACAGAGAGGAAGGGAGAGAGAGATAGAGAGTCAGAAACATCGATGAGAGAGCAACATCGATCAGCTGCCTCCTGCACAACTCCCACTGGGGATGTGCCCGCAACCCAGGTACATGCCCTTGACCGGAATTGAACCCGGGACCTTTCAGTCCGCAGGCCGACGCTCTATCCACTGAGCCAAACCGGTTTCGGCAAAAAAATATATATATTTTAATAAAAGGGAAAATGTGGGAACTGTGGCTCCAAGCGGCCTAAGGTTTTCTGAGCTCTAGGGCAGGGGTCCTCAAACTTTTGCAACAGGGGGCCAGGTCACTGTCTCTCAGACCGTTGGAGGGCCGGACTATAGTTTAAAAAAAAAAACTATGAACAAATTCCTATGCACACTGCACATATCTTATTTTGAAGTAAAAAAACAAAATGGGAACAAATACAATATTTGTATTTGCATGTGGCCCGCGGGCCGTAGTTTGAAGACCCCTGCTTTAGGGAAAGGGCTCAGAAGACTAGAGGACAGAATGAGGGGTGAGAAAGAAGGGGAACCATCAGCCTAGTGAGCGGATACGCATTTTGGAGCCATTCTCAGCCTCCAGGCTGCCGTGGAGGCCCTGGGAATTCTGATGGCTCCGTTTCAGGCCCCAGAGGCCTCCGTTCAAACCTTTGGAACTTCCCTCCCTACCCTGTGTCGTGGCAACCACCAAGACGAGCTGAAAACCGAGGGTGAGTCCTTTCGTTGACGTTCCCCCTGAGCCCTGATCTGCCCCAGCGACAGCCAGAGCACACACGCTGCCTGTGTGATTGGAGTTTACTTAGCAACGAGCTGATCCATGTCACAGGCTAAGCTCTTCCAGGGTTTGCAGGTCCTCTTACCCCTCATACCTCAGAGTCACCTTCCCCTGAGACGGACTTTATCCAAAAGGTTGGAGGCCGCCCGCCAGCAATGTTAAGTGTTATTCTAGTACCTGCCTGAGGCCTGACAATGTCATGCTCCCAGAACAGCAGTGGCGACACACATCACCCCAGAGCCCACAGCCGGTGCCTGGGGACTGATGCACGAACGCTTATGGCACAAAAATGCAAATTTTGTCCCAGCGCCTGAGAGAAAAGAAGACAGCTCCTTGTATAGCTAACATGGCTCAGTGATTGAGCGTCCACCCATGAACCAGGAGGTCACGGTTCAATTCCCAGTCAAGGGCACATGCCCAGGTTGCAGACTCAATTCCCTGGCGGAAGGGGGGCGGGGTGGGGTGCAGGAAGCAGCCTATCAATGATTCTCTCTCACCATTGATGTTTCTATCTCTCTCTTCCTCTCTGAAATCAATAAACATATATATTTTTAAAAGTCAGCAACTTATGTTAATCACTAACTTAAAAAAAAGAAATAGCCCTGACCAGTTTGGCTCAGTGGCTAGAGCGTCGGCCTGCGGGCTGAAGGGGCCCGGGTTCGATCACGGTCCAGGGCATGT